TTGCCGGCTCCCGGGGGTGGAGGGAAAGCGCCCGGCCCACGCTTGGCGCGGCCCCGCCTACCCCTGCCCGAGCCGGGGGCGGTCCTGGCCGGCTGCTCCGCTCCGTTGCGGGCGGGGGCATCCGCCGCCCTGAGGGCCGCAAGCCGGGAAGCCGAAGCCCGGTTTGCTGGGGAGCACCCAGGTGCTGGCCGTGATGCGCTGAGGGGCTCTCGGGAGGGAAGACCAGCGACCAGGCTGTGCTGGCGCTGATGTAGCGGAACATCCGAAGCCCGGTGATATCTGTGCCGCCTCCTGGGGCTCCCTGAACAGTCCTTGAGCTGAAAAAGCTGGGTCAGAAGGATATCTGTGCCGCCTCCTGGGGCTCCCTGAACAGTCCTTGAGCTGAAAAAGCTGGGTCAGAAAGGCCGTGGCACGGCTCTGCTCCCCTCCTCTGGATGAAGCTTTGCTTTGCTTCGCCTGTGTTGGGGATGCTCAGGCAGCTCCGGGCATGTGGAAACATGTGCGGGATTTGCCTGTGTGGTGGCTGGTTCTGAATACGAGAAGGGAAGATTTTGGGACTGGGTGACTAGAAAAACAGCCTAAGTGCAAGAAAGTACTAACTTACTTCAGTCTTTTAGCATCTTTTCTGTATGAGAGAGAGTTTTGTGGTTGTATTTATGGTCTGTGTTTATAAACATCTCGGATGCTCTCATCATTTAGTTAAATAGCCATATTTACAGCTTACTTGGGTGCTGAATTCTGCGCGTTCGGGGTGTTGGAAGCAATGTTTGGGTGACCTGTGCTGCATAATAGTAGATTAAGAGATATGCACACCAAGCCTCTTGTTTTTCGCTATCGAATTAGCTTTAGTATTTGAACATCTTTCAGCTTTTATTTTTTTGTGCGAGATGTAAAGTTGTCTTTGTACGTGGAGTTCTTTGTGGATATGGTAAAAAGACAGTATCTGTTTTTATATATAGGCGCTAACAAGCGGTCAGAAGAACTGTAGCCATGGCTTTTAGTCATCGCTGTGAGATGTCACTCCAAAGTCCAGAGCACTTCCAGCCTTTGGCAAACAAATGCACTGAGAAACTGTCAGTGGCATCCATGTGGTGGAGATTGTCAGAATCTGCTTAGCTGCTTAAGAATCAATTAGAGCTTCTAACCAAAAGGTATCAGTTTGGAGGTGAGCTGCATCACAGAAGGATTTTATATTAAATTTGCTGGAGTAGCTGATCAATGCTTCCCAATTAATACATTTAAACCATAAAAAATATTTAATATGCTCCATGGAAGACACTGTGCATAACCAGTGTTGCAATAGATAGCTAAAAAACCACAGAATCTGTAGTGCTGGAAATACTGTACTTTATTTTAAAGATAAGTCATGTCTTGGTATAGCATATACAGTTGGTCAAAGGTGCTGTATTGCCTCTTTCACTTGACTGCGTTGTCTCTTGTTGCTATATGTGTTATCTTTAAATAATTTTACTCTTTCAGTTCTAAGGAAAGACTGGTTATACTGCATTCTGGCTATACCGTTGACTCTTTTATTTTTGACAGTTTCTTAAAAATTAGGGTTAAAACTGCAATAGTCTCAGGAAAAGAAAGTTAAGGTGCATACTATTACAAAGACTGCCCAGCTGGTTGCTCTGACCTAATCTGCAGCTCTGTTGCAGAAAACCTTGGTGAAGGCCAGGTGTGGGCAGGGTGTCAGGGCCCTCACATCTCTGCAGTTTTGGAGGAAGGGGATGTGATACAGAGCTCCTCTTCACCAGAGAGGGAAAACTGATTTTGCTTGCTTTTAAACTGTGTTAGAAAATTGTACTGCTGTCAGACTTTACGTGAGGTGATGTTTCTTGATGTTTTTCTTCTCTAGTATTCACTTGACTTCAGTCTGAGATGTTTTTGTTTCTTTGGAAAACATTTCTTAGGGAAGAATTAATGCAGACATGTGGTGTGCATTTGTTCTTGTTAACTTGTATTGCTTCTGCATTTTTGGTTTGGTTTAGTTTTCGGGAGTGTGTGTTTGTTTTGTTTCCAAAACTTGGTGCTTCTTTTCTTCTGAGACCTGTAGAAATGATTCGTGTAGACATACTGCATTTACAGGGATGAGGTTAAATGGTCCTGGTGTGAATTAAGTGTAGATGATGCGTATTAGTCCTGGTGTGGATTAAGAGTGCTTTATTTCCTTGCAGGGAAATTTCAGGGGGGAGCAGTTTCCCTGGTTTGATCTATCACATGTCCACAAAAACACTTGTAGCTGGAGTCAGCGAAGGGGCTGCTGTTTATTGCAGAAGCTCTGAGTTGGTGGTGATTCCAAATCTTTCTGAAGATGTGACACCATTTCCAGAAAAGCACTGTACAGATCGCTGACATTTCTATATATTTACGCAGACTGCCTGGCAGCAAAATGATGTTTATTCCCACAGAGGCCACTTGCACACAACAGAAAATAGCGTAAGCGATTTAGTAATTGAACCAAGTATGACCACTTTGTAAAAAACTGAGGAGAGAGTAGTCTTTTTTTTAATTAAAACTAGATGGTTAAAACCACAAGTGGATAACGTCTTCATTTATTGTCTTCACTCTTAAGTCTTCTGAGAAAAGCTTTTTCTCTGCTTTTATTTTAAGTTTGGAATGAGTGTGTTTCTGATTAAATTTTGAACTGTTTTAAGTAGAAGGGAATAGGAGCTTGAATGCAGGTAGTTTTATGAATGTGATATCTTAAAGCCTAAGAAACTAGGGAGTTGTTGAACTGGCAGCGAGCTACTTGTAGGTCAGAATTTGTTTGGGACTCTCAAAGGATATACTCCATATTTTTACCTCTTTTAACACGACATTTGTATTGCTAATGTAGTTAAAAGTTGGAGAAGACACAAGGAA